ATATTTAAAGAATTGATATAAAATTTATATTTTTGAATTGAAGTCTTTAAAATGAAATTGTTTTCTGATTTCAGTAATATATTAAGAATAAATTGTACAATTGTATTTCTTTAATTTATTCTATATATCAATAATATTATATATTACTAGAAAAAAAAAATCAAAAAAAGGTGATAAATAGAGTTGATTATAGAATTAATAATAAAGATAATGTTTTTATATTTCTTCTTATAAACATAAATATTTGTAATATGAGATATACCAATAAGATTAACTAATTCTTTTTTATTTCTTTAAATAATAATTAAAGTATTAGCAATAGTTAATATATTTAAATATAATTTATAAAACTCATTCTAGTTATTACTATTGAAAATCATAATAATACCCCATTTTGTATTAGTTATAATTAAAGTATCAATAGATTTTGATAATATTATATTAATCAACCGGACTAGAGAAAATATAAATAAAGAAAACAAATAAAAACTTTATTTGAATTAAATTGATTGATATTACAAGTTATATAAAAATATTAATAATATAGGTTTTATAACCTATTAGAAGTATATATAGATTATATTTAGGTATAGAATCTAAATTATGTTATAGAGTGTATAAGTAAATAAGATGTATACTAGTAGTACTGTGATACCCGTAGTACCCATGACTTTCTAATAGAGATAGATTATATTGTATAACCCCTACTAGCTACATACCTAGTAACCTATTCAGAATTTTAGTGCCAGAAGCCACCGCCTTTACAGAAATAATTTCTAAAGACATCATAGATTCATCAATTAGCCACAAGGAACTTCAAATCATTTATTCTAATTTAGCAAACTTTGGTCAATTACTTTTAATTTGCTACAGTTCTATTTATGCTTAACATGGTACCACTTACATAATACAACCATTTCTCAAAAGCAATAATTCCTTCACAGAACCGAGAGAACTCAAAAGTTCTCTCCACAAATACACTCATGACCACCACTGAGGACCGCACCAAGCACGCACTGCACGAGCTGCATTTACCACAATCTAGAGAAAATGGAGATTTGGGACCTTCGCAATCAGGATATGTATCAAAATCAGCAGTAAAGCCCGTCCCGGTTGCCAAGTCATGGGCGCATTTCGTTGCTGGAGGGTAAATTTCGCCCCTCTATCATCTTAACATCTTGATGCTTCAAGGACTACCGCTAACATATTTCTGACTGCAGTGTTGGGGGGATGACAGCCGCAGCTCTCACGGCACCTCTCGATGTTCTAAAAACACGTCTACAATCCGATTTCTACCAAGCACAATTGGCGCAGAGTCGTTTGGCCAAGGGCATTTCTCCACATGCGCATCTCTCGCCACTGCGTAGCGGGCTTTTACATTTCCGCGAAACTTTTCAGATATTGGGGTCGGTGCATAGGCTTGAGGGATATCGTGCGCTGTTCAAGGGATTGGGGCCGAATCTCGTTGGAGTGGTTCCTGCGAGGTCAATCAACTTTTTTGTCGTGGGCAACGGAAAGAGAATGTTGGCGGGGTATAATGGTGGAGTGGAATCGGCGTGGATCGTTTGTCTTGCAGCAGCCGCTGCGGGGATCACGACAAGTACGGTTACGAATCCAATTTGGTTAATCAAAACCCGGTTACAACTGGATAAGAATGTAGCGGAGAGAGCAGGGGATGTGGGAAAGAGACAATACAAAAACAGTTGGGATTGTATCAAGCAGGTTATTAGGGGAGAGGGGATTCGGGGTTTATACAAAGGGATGAGTGCAAGTTACCTGGGCGTTACAGAAAGCACGTTGCAATGGGTCTTGTATGAGCAGATGAAGAAGAAACTCGAGAAGCGAGAGGAGAGGATCATATTGAGTGGAAGACCTAGAAATTTCTGGGATCACTCTGTACAGTGGACTGGAAGTCTAGGGGCAGCAGGATTTGCGAAGTTCGTGGCAGCACTTGCGACTTATCCCCATGAAGTGGGTTCGATCCAACACTTTTGACTAATAGTTATGCTAACAATATATGTAGGTCCTCCGAACACGCTTACGACAAGCACCTTCAGACCATGGACGCCCCAAATATACTGGACTCGTTCAATGCTTCAACCTTGTTTGGAAAGAGGAGGGAATGGTTGCTTTGTACGGAGGTTTGACGCCGCATCTACTACGGACGGTACCGAGTGCCGCCATCATGTTTGGCATGTACGAAGGAATACTGAAATTACTGGAAAAGCCAGCTTCGTCTTAAGAAGGTATGGGAGAGCTGAGTAGATGTACAACATATGAACAGGATTTGACGATGGCGTTTGTAACAAAAAAAGAACGGCATATAACGACTAGGACCGGTCACATACAATGTACATTATGACATACATGGCGCTTCATGGGAATGGATGTGGGTTATAGATCATTGGCATATTGTTTCTATGCATACACAGGACAACAGGAGATGGGGTGGACATTCCGCTCCAAAGACTCAAATAGACGAGAGCAATTCTGCAAAGATAATAAACACGGGCTCATGAGTTCAAAGACTGGCGCTTTTGCTTGGTTCCGATATAGCTCATAGAACAGAATCCGCGATTAAAATGTCCACAATGCAGCCACCCACCAGCAAAACGCCCTTGGTATATGTGAGAAGATTGAAATAAACTGCGGCAACACCCCCCATCCCTTTTTGACTGGGGAAGATCACCTCACTCCCATATTTGTATGCTATCTTGTCGTATTGCAGGTTTCTGCATCGGAGCCTATGATCTTATATGTATGTACCATCACTATCGTTTTGGCCATGGTATTCGGACGTCGTTTCTTGAGTTTTCGTTGCATGTATTGAATCTTGATATCAGAATCTCTCAAACGACTTCACCACGCATTCCGGTCCCAGTTTGGATCTATCCCTCGTACAAATGATTAACATAGTCCCTCGACTAAAATTCGTCTGAACCTCCCAAGTCCCAAAACTCCCGAGATAGGATAGAAAGACATAAAAGCAAACCAAATCAAAGAACAAGAAAAACAAACATACCCTGCACAAAACCGGCCAGAACCTTACTACCCGTCTGCAAAAGCGGATGGCCCACCACAATCTGCAAGAATCGCTCCAACCCCTCTCTTCGATGCTCAATCACATCGTCACTAAAGCGGTTCGTGAATACTTTTCCAGGGAGCGGCGGAATCGTCACGCGCGCACTCTCGCGCTCCAGGATGTCGCGGAAATATTCAAAATCGCTGTAGCGGCGTCGCACGGTGCTGTTGCGTAGCTTGAAGGCGGGAATGTTGGTGCTGCAGTTGATTTCATAGTCTGTGTACATGTTGCGGCCGATGCCGTGGGTTTGGGGGTCGGTTACCTATGGGGTGAGGGAGGGTTAGTTGGTTGGGTGGTTGGAAGTGAGGGGAGGGGGAGGAGGAGGGGGAAGAGAGAGGGGTGGGGCAGTTGGGAGTTGGGAGTTGGGAGTTAAGAAGGTTTCATGGGCGGACATACTTCTATCTCGAGGAAATTTTCAGGAGGTCCGTAGATTTCTTCAAAGCTTTGTTGGCGGGAATCAGGCATGGCTTGCATGGCAGATGGTAAGCTAGATCTTCCTGGAGAAGTAGGACTTTTGGGAGAGGTTTGGCCGGTGGCTGTCGATTCTGCTGATTGTGCCATTTTTAAAGGTTTGTTGAGCTGCGATTGATAGGGAGGGGCTTTATTGTCCAAAGAAAGGAACAATAGTTATGGTAATTTGCCTATCGGTATTGTGACGTGATGTATATTATGGAGATTTTGGAGTTTGTCTCGCAGGTGAATTGACTTATGCGTCTGATGTATACACGCGGAGGGTTAAAGTTCATTAGAAGCCGATGCTCTTTAGGTTTTGGTGGGGCAGATTTGGTGGTTTGGTCTTTTCCCCTCTTTTACAATGAAGGAGCTCGGGAGGAAGCAGACATTGCCTAGGTAGGTATGGGGAGATTTGAGGTATACCCAATCGAATGCAAACAAACACCTTCAATAAAAGTTGATTGTAGGTGACACAAACAAGTAAAAAGTTCCGGTACTAATGTACCATATTTCTTTTTTCTTTTACTTGCTATAAATTTGGTTTGCTATTGATTGTTCTCTCCCTCCATTCCTCGGATTTTCGAATTTCGTGCGTCTCTTGATACCTTTATTATTCGACTACACTTTGCGAGCACACTCTTCAGCTTTGTGATTTCCTCGACTTCTTCACACCATGGACGTTGTTAAAAAGTTGTTACCGTTGGCAAGGCCACTTGTGAGCACTATTACGAATACTTGAATGTTCAATCAGTAGCTGATGATATCTAGCTTCTAGTAATCCTGACTGCCATAGCTGGGTACGAAACTCTAAAACATATTGGATCATGACATTAAACTGATATCCGCCAGCTATTCCTACTCCCAAATCCGCCTCCTTTCACTTCCCATCTCCCAGGCTCTCGCACTATTCACGCTCGTCCTGCCGCTTGTCACTGGAATCTCTACACAAGGTGCTGCTGGCTTGATACAGCGAGCGAATAAAAAAGAGCAAAATCAGCTCACGCTGCCACTTATTGCTGTTATCGGATTCCAATTGGTCTACGAAACCATCGTGGCAACTCTCGCCTTGACTTATATGATACCACCAGATTCATTACATTGTGGTTTAGAAGATACATGGCAGAAGCTATTTAGTTCGAAGGATGAGAGGAAGATTAGGGCGATTCAAGATGCGTTGAATTGTTGTGGACTCCATAGTGTCTATGATAAAGCCTGGCCATTCAGAACGGATGCCCATGCTTCTGGGAACTGTGTGGACGTGACGAATCGCTCACAGTGAGTTCTTCCTTTTCCGATCTCCCGATGACATATCCGAGACATTAAGCTAATGGCCCCTTTAGAAGCTGTTTTGGGACTTGGAGACAAGCGGAGCAGACTAATGCTGGACTGCTTTTGATCGTCGCTTTGCTCATATTTATTATCAAGGTATGTTCCGTATTAGTGTCAGGCTTTTCAGTTATGAGTGGCAGAATAGCTCTAGATGGTTTATTCAGGTTCTAGATTGCTTCAATATGCATACAAAGTCGCACATACTTCTGCAAATCATTCCATCCAAATTGTGGCCAGTGTATCATTCAATTTCTAACATTCAAAACTCAGGTGATATCCATCATAAATCTGCTCACCACCTCCTTCTGGAAACGCTCATACTGGTCTCAATCAATCCACCGCATAACAGACGGTGATACAGAAGCGCCACGGGAAGATAATAGGGCAGTGACAAGACGGCTCATCGAAGAAGGTGAAGACGAAGAAGAATCTTACCAAGATGAACCCACAAGACAAGATAGTGTCTCTGCATTTAACGGCCTTGGACAAGGACCAAGAGTCGAGCCTTCTCGCTTGTCTCAAAACTATTAGGCTATCTCAAGCCATCCAAGCATGCAATAAGCTTAAAAATGAGATGCGGCGGCTCAGCAAGAACCTCGATATCCTGGTCGATATCTGGGGCATTGCTCTCCACTTGGGGCAGTTTCTGATTCGTGATGATGATTGGAGAAGATCTGGTGAAGGACGTGAAGGGGTAAACAGCAAATTGCCGATGATGATATTGGGAGACATTTTCATTTTGGTGTTTGGCTGTGATTTGATCAGATGGCGCAATTTACCATATTCATTTTATCCTACAGCATTGAGGGCATCTCACTATGAAATCGGCACTTATCCTTATCCTGACTTCGAATCCTTGCACATACATGATGCTAATCCCTAATCCTCACTCACGTGATTACGGGCAAACCGCCGCCGGTAGGCTGAGTGAAGAAGGTAGATAGAAGAAGGATGAGAAGAACTATTGGAAGGTGGCTGATGGGGCCATTGAAATAGACATTCTTGATTTTTTCAACAATTATGCGCTGTTCATACCAGATTCCCCATCGAATGAACATTTTATATGTCGAGAGAAGCCCACGAAAGCGCTGCATGCGATTCAGAATATCCGAAAAAGAGCGAAAAATTAGTCCGTTTCAGTAGACATGCATATTTTAATTGCATACTCGGCGTTACATTGCAGCACGAAGCGTGATGAATGCTACTCGGTGAACTAGGTTTGGAGAGCTTTTTCATTTGTTTCAACCAATGATGTTGAATGAAGAGATGTAATGTTAATTTCTACAACACATCTCTCTCTCTTCCACCCCCTCCTTTTGGGGCTCTGCCAGCTTCCGCTTCGTTTTTTTGTGCAGAGTAGAACTTGGTAAGTTAGTAGAAGCGATACAAGTATGTACTTTGCAAACGAGATAGCAAACGGCATACACCAGTAGCATAATACCAGCAGTATACACCAGCAGCATACACCAGCACACTGCACAGGGACACATGCATCCAACCACCCCACACACACACATCGGTTATCTCTTCGAAAGATTATCTCTGGACAAACGATACCCACCTAGCACCTACTTCACAAATCAAGATTGAGGAAACAACCATGTTACCCAGTCCTTAAAGACGTTGTGTGTGCTAGCTTTATTATGTACAACCCAAGTGTCTTCCGTGTCCCCACGAGTCCCGGTCATGGTTATGGTCATCTCCGCATAGTGCAATTCATCCAGATCCATCATTGATCCATCATCCATCATTCAACCTACCACTACACTACACACGTTACCCGTATCTATAGTGCCCTTTCCACCCCTAAAAAGCCCAAGCTTAAACAAGAGGGATTTTTTTTTCTCCCTTTCTGCATTTTGCACCGCCTTTCTTATAATCTCATAACAGTACCGGAAGATTTATCGTATCTGGTGATAGATAGCCTCGACACATTACCGATCGGATCCCTATCAACAATTCCCCTCAATATTGCAAATCCCATACAAACATACACACATACATACCTACATACATACTGGCACGGTCCACGGAACCAAGGATGACTCTGGCTCGACCTGCTTCACCGCAGTGCTCCTGATATTAACATCGCAAACAACATTTCGGAAAAGGTCCTGGATAAGCACGCACGTACCGCACCAAAATTAAAATAAACGAAAGAAGAAAAGGAATTACAGTACACCTCAAGGATAGGAATAACACAAAGGCCATGATTGAGAAGTCCACTTCTCAGAGGGCTCGGGCCGAGTGGCCGAATTCTTTTTCGTCGCAAAGAGTTAGCAAGAGGCCACAACAGCAATTGTCGCATTCTCAACGTCGTCTCTACAGTCCCAGTGCCTCACCGCCTGCCTCATCACACTCACAGTCGTCGTCGTCGTCATCGCTCTCCTCGCAACCAAGGAGCTCTTCTTCGCGACACAACCCTAGCTATCGTATTCGTCTAGATACCCGTCTAGATAGGTCGTCACCGCCCCTCAACTTTGACTATTTTCAGTTCCAGGCCGCAGCTACTACTGCTCCGTCATCATCATCATCAATTGTTGGACATGCTATTGGTATCACGACCTCTGGAGACGCGGGTTTAAATTTAACGGCGCAGCATACCACGCTTCCGGATACATCATGGATGACCTATTCCTCAGGCCCTCTGAACACTATTCCACTCAGTCCCGAGGATCCGGTGAGCCCCGGATACTCGACCTACATCGGAACTAATGGCGGTGATGCATTATCGCTCCAGGCCGGAGTTATGCCTGGACTCTCCATGCCATGGGACATCGTGAATTCTACTACACAATTATCTGGACCCTCCAACTATGAGGATATTTGTATGTCAGAGGCTAATATGGGAAGCTATGGAAGTCATGGAAGTATGCAATTGGCTTCTACTTCCACCATCTCGGCAACGTCCGATGAATATGGTTTCCCAATCTCTCCGTCAATGTATGGATCCCCAGGAGGTGCAAACCCGTTGCTCGGTCTCGCGCTGCCCAGTATGTAACAATTTTGCTTGTCTATCTTGTCACTTTCGTATATTTTCATTGTGAGACATCATGTAATCTGCTTTGCTGACGAGGCTGCAACAGATTATGTGAACCAAGGTATGATGGTCAGTCAAACAATGCAACGCACCGAAGATCTCAATACTTCCTTACCGTCTACCTCGACCTTTTCCTTCGACAATACATACACATCTCTAGATTGGAGTTACAGCAATATTTTCCCCACCGAGCCCATGGCCCCTTCAACATCTCCACTTCTAGAGACCCCAAACCTCCCTCAGAGAAGTAGATACATACGATCACAATATCCCTGGAACCCGCATGATGCACACGGTAATATCTTCAGCGAGAATTCCAACTCCGGCCGCGTTACTTATGAGCCTGGGCCGTCTCAAATACACTCCTATGAACCCGAGCGATCTCCAATACAATCCTACGAATCCGAGAGTTCGCCATTAAACTCCTATGAGCCCGAACGATCTCCAATACAATCCTACGAATCCGAACGATCCCCACTAACCTACGGGACACCATCCCCGGTGGGTAATGACAGATTCACTGTACCCGGCCAAGGACAATCAAACAACAATGTATATGGACCGGAACCCCCAAAAATAAATTGGTTTGATGAAAGCGATGCATCAACCTCTTACTCCAACACTATGTATACTCCCTCCCACGGCTCCCCGGTATCGCACCACTCCCCGCATTCACAAGGCTCACAGCCGCCGCCTTCACCAAGCGATGCGGGACAACATTCGCATGTCTTCAGTGCAAATACCGAACCGCAGAAGAATAAGGTTACTAGGGGCCGTGTGAGACCGTTGACAGATAAGGAGAAGAGGGAAGCGAGGGATGTCAGGCAGGCGGGCGCTTGCTGGGCTTGCCATCTCTCTAAGATCAAGGTGTGTAGGAAGATATGCCGTTCACACATGGATATATGTCGCTAACTGTTTCTCGTTCAGTGCTCACCTTGTTCTCCAGGGTTTCCTTGTGAACAGTGTACTAGGCTTTCTGGGAAGAGAAGGTTTTGTCTCCTACCATGTTTCAATGATCCAGTCGAAATGCTGGATAAATTCTTAGTACCTGGTATGCTTCTCATAATACCTTTCGTTATGATCTCAGACTAACAAAATATATAGAAAATCACATAAGAATGTACACAGTCGAAAACACCAAGAGATTCATCTCGAAGAACGCCGATGCATGGGGGACAGATGAGATGATAGTGCGATTAAGCTGGGGCTACCGAGTCCCGCTGAAAGTTACCGTCGTCTCCTTATCGGTACGAGGTTCGACTTCGGTCTTTCGATATCAGCATCAAACGTACATCAATGCATCAGGAAGACCGACTTTCACGAGAAAGAAGAGCCCACCGCTTGGTATTCCGCTCTTATCGATGGAGGAGAGACAGGAGGAGTATGCTCGATATATCAAGAAGATTGTTAGGAATGATTTAGATGGATATGCTAAGATAGCGTATGAACCTGAGGAATCAAATCTTGCGAAACGTTTGCTTGGAACGGTATGCCAGTTTTACACTGCTGGTGTGGAGGCCAATGACGAGGTAAGACTCCTTTCTTTTGAACAAAACGTCTTTGTGCTGCACACATGTACAGTCTCGAGGGGGTTTTGTTAAGCTTGGGCTAGTAATCGGGCTTATATCTTCGATTACCCAAACTCATCCTCGCCTGTTGCCATGGTTATGATAGCTGACAACCGCAGTATGAACTCCTTCGCGAAGCCTTAGAAATACACATTGCCTGCGCCATCCTGGAGAGAAGTTTAATCCTCGATGACGAATCAACCAATTTGGTAGAAGGGCGCCTAGGAGAAGATTTCCCAGCAGACTCTTCTCCAAGATGCGCTTCTCGCCAAATCAAAGTAGCCTTTTTCATATCGCAACAAGAGAGAATCAGAGAAGTCCTCAAGGAATGGGGTCAAATGATGTGGACAAGTAATCGCGCGACTGCGAACGAACGAAAATGGGCGATTGGATTCAGCGTCTTGCTCGTCTTGACACTCGTGATGGATAAGACACTGGGTCTCTCATATTGCAAGTACGTATTCTCATGAATCCCATAGTCTCAAAATACGACTATGCTGATTCGTAATCGCAGTGCCGAATCGAGAATCAAACATGGCGGTAAAGAAGCAGAGATTGAACGCAATGAATTTCAGGAGAGAGTAAAAGTAACACAAACAAACTTGTTCGAGAGATGCAAAGAGATTCTCCATTCGAAGTTCAAGACACGAAAAGGGGGTAAGGAGAGTTTTAACCCAATCCGTGACGGCGATGGCGCCTGGCGTGGCAAAGTCATTGATGAGAGAATTGCCGGTTTTGTACATGATATGAAAAGTGTGGTTCGGGAATTTGGTATGTTTCTCTCGGTTCTCCTCTCCCCTCTCCTCTCCTCTCCTCTCCTCACCGTTCATTTCTGCGTCCGCGACCGCCCGAGACAGATAGATTTGGATGATTATCGTGCGAAACCATGATTCGGATGTGAGACTAATGTTTTCTATTTTGAACAGAAACCCAAGTTCGATCTTTTAGACCTAGGATCTCGAAGAATCCACGAGATGATCCACTGTCGTTGTCTCTGAAAGTTGACGAATCACCGTACACAGATGCGGCCCGATTAGCCTGTGTATTTTTGGACGATTTTCTGGATCATTGAAATTGGAATTGGAGCGAGCTTGGGCTCTAGGCTAGGGGTTAGGGGGGAATCCCCCGGATTAACCTATTGGGAATGAGATTTTGGCAGGTATTGTGGGTTGGGTTTTGGATCGGATGCACTGATTTGGAATGGATTGGATTGGGGAGATTGAGGAGGTTTAGGGAGAAAGAGGGATGGATGGATGTACAGCCAAGACTGAGACTGGGACGGGGACGGGGACTGAGAAAGAATGGGGATAGGAATAAGTCGATTCGCGAAGATCAGGAGGAAGGGTGAGGGAAGGGATTATTTTTTGTGTTGTGTATTTTGATATGATTATGATGATCATGATTTTGATGATGGATGACGAATGACGGACGACAAAGTAATGATTCAATGTTGGATTGGATTGGGTTGGGGGTACGCACAAAAGGACAGAAGGACAAATGGAGGAAAAGAGAAAGAGCGGAAAGAGGCAGAAAGAGGAAGGTATAATTTCTGGGATCCGATGGATGAATGAGAATTGATTCATTACTCCAAAAAAAAACATTCATGAATAAATAAATATTGATTGATTAATGATGTTGATGTTGATGGTGATGATGATGCATAAAGATGTAGTTCGTAATGTAGAGTAGTGATAAAAGATATACTCGTATAATAAGTAAACTGATCGACCAAGACACTAAATTTAGCCCTCTCCTCTCTCCTCTCTCAACTGAAGTACCGGTACATACCGGCATGAAAAGTTATGAAAAGTTACTAACCTTATACAACAGATAAAATAAACGGATATACAAGTAAAACAATGAAAAATTGAAATCTAATACTCGTATCTAAGGTTAATCTTCATAACCAATAATCAAAAAAGCAAGGATATTGATGTTTGGTACGAGTATATTAGCAATACTGTATCTGTAACAAATCGACAATAAATCGATAATAAATTAAACGGTAATTCAATAGCCTTATGGATGGATTACATGGATTTGGATGACATGGATTGGATGACATGGATGGATGATTTGGGGACCTTGGGTGTTCTTGTGTTCTTTTAGATTTGTGTTGTATGTTGTGGCTAGAGTTCTGGGGTTGGTTCTGGGGTTCGTTCAGGGGTTAAAGGATTAGTTTAGTTGGTGAGGTTCATGGTTTTGATCTATGTATGGTTAGTGGCTGGTGTGTACAGTACCGGTATCGGTATTATCTATAGCCCCTGATCTTGCTTGCTTGATGAGATGGATGAGATGATGGACGAACGGACGGACAGACGAACCCAGAGAGCTGGGGAGCTACTGCTGTAGATGGACTAGCTAGATGGACTAGATGGAGATGGATCAGACCAGATAGACATATGTCTAGAAATATTGCGAGGATTAATTGTATATACGGTGTATAAATTCCTTGAGTAAGGTAATTCATTGGTTCGGATGAGATGGGAGAGACTGAGATCGATCCGCATTGAATTTGATTAAAGAGCTAAAGGGAGGAAATTGGTGATCTCCTGGGGAGATGGATGGGTAAATGTACTAGTTAGGTGGGTATTATATCCCTGATGGTAGGAGGGAGAGAGATGGTGAGAAGGTGAGAAGATGAGAAGACTGGGGTTTTGGAGGTTAATCGTTGATCGTTGATGATCGGTGGTTAAGTCGAGATTGCTGGGTCACCTGGGTGGATGTGGATGGTGGAGAGGGTGGAGAGGGAGGATGGAGAGGTTGGAGTAGGGAAGATCTGGACTCTGGAATCTGGAGGAGAGAACCTATGTGAGTTAGTGAGTTGAAGAATATATACAGTATACCAGTAATCAATAATTCATATGTGGATACAGTACTAGACATTCTAGAGTCTAGACAGACAAGTGGATATGAACAAGGTAAAGAAAGGTACCAAAGCACAGATAATAAGAAGAAGGGATGAGATGGTAATCATGGGATATGTACCTAGGGATAGGGAGGATCCAACTTCCGGATACCGAATTGTTCGAGAAGGGAAAGAGAAGGTCCAAGGGGAAGGAAGGAAGGAAGGAAGGATGATCGAAGATTCGAAGGGCAAGGGGAAGGGGAAGGGGAAGTGAATGAGTTAAGAATAGTATTCGAGTACCGTACTGTACACATACCTACATGCAAGTGCGACAGCTCCACTTCACTCTGTTTGTATGTATGCATGTATATATCCTTCACGCTATATTACATGGCTACCCACGCTACCCACCCCACTATATGCATCGGAAAGTCGGAAGTCGGATGGAAGAAGGAAAGAAGGAAGTCTGTGGTTGTTGAGGGACCACCTTAAGCTAAGGGCTAAGGGCTAAGGTTGCATGCATACTTGTAAGCCATTATTATTGCATTGTTATTATTGCATTGAAGAAACAGAGACCAAGACAAGTGACAGAGACAGAAACAAAAAGCAAATTCAGATTCAGACAGATTCAGTTTTAGAATCAGATTTAAAATTAGAATAGTGAGAAATATACAGTAAGTAGTATATGTATAGCCAAAAGATATACAGTACATACGAACAAATTACAGTACAGTACCGAAATCTAAGTGCCGTGCTAATTAACTAAACTAACTAACTAATTAACTAATTAACCATTAACTAACCAAACTAACTAACCAAACTAATTAACCCGCAAAATGTACTTCTCTACTAGCAACTAGCAACTAGCAAATACCCAGTAGCCCGTAGTCTGAGGGCCCAAGATATTACCTAGATACCCGATACCGGTACTCGTATACCGTCTCATAACGGGCACGGGAAGGAACTTCACAAGGAACTTCACAAGGAAGAAAAGAAGGCATGCATGCGTATAGAAGGGCGAGGGAAGGGCGAGGGAAGGAAAAAAGGATGGAGCTCCGAACAACCAAGTCTCAAGTCTCAAGTCTCAAGCCCTGTGTTGGAACTTGGTAGGGTGGGCTTTACCGGTACTTTGCTTTGCTTCATCTTCGGATTCATGATGCCGGACAGGGTAGATGCTGTGAGTGTGAAAAAAGGAAAGGAAAGGAAAGGAAAAGGAAAGGATTTGGGAAGGGGGTTTGATGTTTTGGTTTTTTATTGTATTGGATTGTATTGGTAGGGTAGGGTAGGGTAGGGTTATATTATTGTATTGTATTGTAAGAATACTGTATGGATGGATTGCGGTTTTTAATTAGATTTGTTGGCTGGATTTGTCTTCTCCTATTGTTATATCTGGAAATAGAATAGATGGAGAGATGTGGAGAGGAAATAGATAGATACTAGGTAGGTAGAGAGAGAAAGACAGAGAGAGAGAGAGAATATTATGTCATCTACGTAGGTAATCGAATCACACCTATTATATTATCAAGGGGTATGGTCACTGGTGGTGTGGTTGTGCAGTAAATTACTTGTGATGGTAAAAATATATTCGCATCACGTAAGGCGGAGGGAGTTTGGGGGAAAATGAAAAAAAGTTATTCGAGTGTGTTGTGTTCGTCTCAGAATTGGAAGTTGGTGGAATATGTATGTATATATATTAATAAGATAGATATAAGTAAGATATAAGTATAATGAATATATCCAATTGAAGGGGAGAGCCTCGTGTTTGGGGGGGATGAGGGATGCAGGAACCAAAAAGATATCGGTATGACAGTACAGTAACAGTATATCAGCATTATAGAAAAAAATATATATTAAAAAAAACAGAGAAAGGGGATGTTTACGATGGATAGATGTGACGTCGAGGAGCGTAAAAAAACGTGTTTATACCTTGTTATATTCAGCCCAAGCCGTAGGAATCCTTATCAATACAGTTGTGGTGGTGGTGGTTGTGGTGGTGGTGATGGTGATGGTGACTGTAATCTGCATGTTGTGATGATGATAATGATGGGTAAATGGTAATTGGAAGAATAATACCGAGTAAAATGGTAGGCTGTGTTTTGCGATTACAGTACAGTTACAGTAGAGTACGATCTCTTATTTTACAGTAATGATGTATGGGTGTATGGTTATGGTGTATGGTTGTTTCGTTTCGACCCTGCATCAAATGCTGTGTTACCTACCTTCCTTATACAATCTTCAAGAACTGAACTATTTGTATTGTTAAGGTATCATTCATGTCATGTACAGTCGCGGCGATGATGAAAAGCTGATGAAAAGCTGATGAAAAGCTGATGAAAAGCTGATGAAGCTGATGAAAAAGAAAAAAGAAAAAAGAAAAAAGAAAAATTGTAGTAAATCCAGCTTCATGTTGATAGTTGATGGGTTGATGTTGTGTTGCATGCGAAGTGCATATTCGCATACTACCACCACCAGTACTCATACAGTAATCACTTTATCGCATAACTCATACTCAGTGCGAGGCATGGCCCATGGCCTTCCTGTACTTCTCACCGAGATGAGATGATCGCCGGTATCTCTTCACCAATATGATTGTGTATCACAATAATCGGGCAAATTGCCATGCGATGCGATGCAGTGCAGTGCAGTGCAGTGCAGTACAGTACAGCTGGGAAGGGTATAATAATTACTCATGATACTGTACTTACTGTACCTACATTCTCTACTGAATCTTCTTTTTCGTTCCTTCCCTTCTGTGCCGTTTTCCATGCGTCTCGCGGCCGGCCGTCTACAGAAAGAAAGCTACAGTGGTTCTACGGGTATGCACAGCAGCAGATGGGGCTTGAACTGACCGACAAGTTCGTGTGAGACATCCCGCCCCCATGGGATACCATAGGGCGGGAAAGGGGGGAAAGGGGATGGGATTGGATAGGATCGGATGGGGTGGGATTGCTTGGTCTAACTTCAACCTTAGGCTGTGCTTTGTAGATTAGTGAGGTTAGGTTGGGTTAGGTTAGGTTAGGTTAGGTTACAGTAGCAGTAGCAGTAGCAATAGAATGTGAGTAATAATTGCCCGGGCTTCCTTGGTCGGAGGATACGAGAAGGAAAAGAAGGTACATACATAGGTACTGTATGGATGTATGCCATTGTATGGATGGAATATGGATGGAAGGAAACACAACTTGGAAAGTGCCGCAAAAAGTAAAAAAAAGTATACCCCGACTATA